TGTATTATACAGTAATATAATTGGTTTGTATTTTGCTTAATATGAGCACATTGCATTATGGTATAGCACTATGTACAAGATAGTTCCTTATGGCTTATTTTTTAAAAAATGAAAAAACCCTCTGGTTTAGAATTGTGTGTTAAAAAAGCTAGTTTTGTTTGGCATGGAAATGTACATTCTGAATCCATACTAACCATATGATTCCTCAATGCAAGCTTCCTAGCTAGATTTCTGAAACAAAGCTCATCACAAGCTTTCAGCCTAAGGCAAGCAAGCCCAACTCTCTGGTAGTGCTAGATATGCCAACATCATAGCTGCCTTTTGGTAAAGTAAGAGTTTTTTCAAGTCAAATTTAACCCTGGCAAATAGTCTTCTTGGCAACAGTTCAGAAATACTTTGCCATTGTATTTATTCTTGATTTTTTTTTTCAACTTCCTAGTCTAGTAGAAAACCTAGGATTTCTTATTTATTTATTTATTTATTTGTTTAAATTTCTATACCGCCCTTCTCCAATATAGGACTCAGGGTGGTGAACAGCCGAAAATAAAAACAAGACATACATACAAAACATACAAAATCTAAAAACTGATTAAAATAATTAAATCTTTTGGCCGTGATTAAAACAATTCCAATTTAAAATCAGTTTAAAATTTGACTCAAGCCAGCCCAGCTAGTTGAAATAAATGGGTTTTCAGGGCCCGACGAAAAATCCGGAGGTCTGTTATTGTACGTAACTCTGGGGGGAGGTTGTTCCAGAGGGTGGGCGCCACCACAGAGAAGGCTCTCCCCCTGGGGGTCGCCAGCCGACATTGTCTGGCGGACGGCACCCTGAGGAGGCTGACTCTGTGTGAGCGCACTGGCCGGTGGGAGGCTATTGGTGGCAGAAGGCGGTCTCGTAAGTACCCCGGCCCTAAGCCATGGAGCGCTTTAAAGGTGGTCACCAACACCTTGAAGCGCACCCGGAAGACCACCGGGAGCCAGTGCAGCTCGCGCAGGAGAGGTGTCACATGGGAGCGCCTCGTCGCCCCCATAATCCCCCGCGCGGCCGCATTCTGGACCAGCTGGAGCCTCCGGGTGCACCCCAGGGGGAGCCCCATGTAGAGAGCGTTACAGTAGTCCAGGCGGGAAATGACGAGTGCCTGAGTGACTGTGCGTAGGGAGTCCCGATCTAGAAAGGGGCGCAACTGGCGTATCAGGCGAACCTGATAGAAAGCCCCCCTGGCCACGGCCATCAAATGATCTTCCAAAGACAGCCGTGCATCCAGGAGGACGCCCAAGTTACGAGCCCTCTCCGTGGGGGCGAGTGATTCACCCCCAATAGCCAGCGATGGCATCAGCTGGCTATATCGGGACGCCGGAAGCCACAGCCACTCGGTCTTGGAGGGGTTGAGTCGGAGCCTGTTTCTCCCCATCCAGGCCCGCACAGCCTCCAGACACTGGGACATCACTTCAAGGGCATCATTGGGGTGGCCTGGGGTGGAGATGTACAGCTGGGTGTCATCAGCGTACTGATGGAACTCCACCCCGAAGCTACGGATGATCTCACCCAGCGGCTTTACATAAATGTTGAACAGAAGGGGCGAGAGGACCGACCCTTGTGGCACCCCACAAGCAAGGTGCCTCGGGGTCGACCGCTGCCCCCCTGTCAACACAGATTGCGACTGGTCAGAGAGGTAGGAGGAGAACCACCGCAGAACGGTGCCTCCCACCCCCAACCCCGCCAACCGGTGCAACATGATACCATGGTCGATGGTATCAAAAGCCGCTGAGAGGTCTAACAGGACCAGGATAGAGGAGCAGCCCCTATCCCGGGCCCTCCAGAGATCATCCACCAATGCGACCAATGCCGTTTCCATGCTGTGCCCAGGCCGGAAGCCGGACTGGAGCGGGTCTAGATAGACAGTTTCATCCAGGTACCGGGGAAGCTGTTGCGCCACCACACTCTCAACAACCTTCGCAACGAAGCGAAGGTTGGAGACTGGACGATAGTTAGCCAAAACAGCCGGATCCAGAGAGGGCTTCTTGAGGAGGGGCCTCACAACCGCTTCTTTCAAAGCGGCCGGCAGGACCCCCTCACTCAAAGAGGCGTTAACAATCTTCTGGAGCCAGCCTCGTGTCACCTCCCGGGATATTGATATTCTTTTGTTTAAATCCCAATCTGGTCGGTCTCTTAGCAGCTCTCTTAGTTTCGGTTTTTAATAATATTTTAATCTGTGTAATTTTAATGTTTTAATATTTTAATTAGGTTTTACTGTTTTATAAGCCGCCCAGAGTCACCTCGTAGGGGAGAAATTATCCGGGCCAAATTATCTAATGTGGTTTTATACTGTCTTTTAAATTTTGTAATCTATGTGTTTTATTTTTTGGCTGTTCACCGCCCTGAATCCTTCGGGAGTAGGGCGGTATATAAATTTAATAAAATAGAAAATAGAAATAGAAATAGATGAGCAGCATAAAAAATTAAAATAAGACAAACAAATCTGGTCCAATCTTACTTAACCTTTTCAAGACCAGTCCAGGCTGACTAATTGCTACAGTCTTCTGTGATGTGTTTTGGTGCTTCGATCAAATCATGTATCTTCAGTAAATGCAGTTTTTTCCACAATGGACTATCTACGTATAAGAGCACCTAAACGCTGGGTATCATAATCAATGCTGAGATATCGTTCTGAAATGTTCAATACTGTGTGTGCCAAACAAACCCAAATGCAGCCTCCAGAAGCCCACCTGAGAACATTGTGGCATATTACTTCTAGGTACAATTCAAGAAGCTGGTGATCTCCTTTAAAAGCCTACATGGACTGAGTCCTGGCTACCTTTGTTTTAGTTTAAGCCAAAAAAGATCTGCTTACCGATGGTATGCCTGTGGAATTGCTGATAGTTTCACTCTTTAGGAAATGTGAGGAGAGGGAACTTAGAGACGAGTATTCTTTGTGGAAGGGCTCCTCCTACTGAATGCCCTTCCAGCAGATGGAAGAACCATGTTCTCACTCTCTCATATTCAGGAAGCTTTAAAAACCATGGCTTTTGGAGACTAAACTGAGGTTGGTCAAAGATACTAGAGTATGATGACTTTTTGATTTTGATTATATACGCCACTATTGTTTTATGATTAGAGAATTATGTTTGCTGGACATTTTGATAATTTTTATCACTTTGTTGTTTGTGTGTTCTTGCCTGTAAGCCACAGAGTCAAATAACTGAAGTGACCTGAAAATTCACCAAAATCCTGTTCTGACATTCCTTGAGAACAGATGAAGCTACACAGCATTTCTCTCGGCCCAATTACTTTCCTCCTGGAATTTTGCCCACTTATTTATTTTATCCTAAAAATCAAATCAATCAATAAAATCTAACTACTTTAAACCAGCTGGACTGCATTAGAAACAGGGCATACTGTATATCAGAATAAAAGGAACTAAAAATACTAAGCTAAGAAATTATAAAATTGTAAATAGTGATGGTGCTAATACTATTAATCTCCCAAGGCCTTCTGAAAGGAGATTCCTTGGGAGATTAATGTGTTTTTCATGTGCATCTAGAAAGCCATGAGAATAAGGGCCATCCATGCTTCAAGGAGCAAGCTCTTTCAGAAGTGGGAAGCTGCTTCAGGAAACACCCACCATCAACCACATTATCCTGGTTGGTGTAGCTTCTTAGCAGGTACTCCTTAAGCAAGACAGAATTGAAAAATCCCTTCAACTCCTAGGAAGTGGCAGAAATTAATGCAGCTCATGCTTTCTAATTCTAACATACAGGAATTGCTATAATCCTTTAGGTCTAATTACAGTAGCCACTCTATCCGGGCAAGTTAAGAAACAATTGATATTTACCCTATACAGTATAAACTTTTAAGATTAAATTTATATAAGAGAAAATAAAAAAGAAATACATTATTTACACAAACAGGGGAAAAAGAAACTCTTCAGCGTAATTATTAAATATAAACAAAAAGCTGCCCATAATTGCCCTGTGGTAAGATGGGCGGCCAATAAATTTTAACAGTAAATAATAAATGGAATTTAAAAAGAAAGTACAACTGAACTTTGCTCACAAGGAGGAGGAAAGGTCTCTAATATACAATAGATGTATTACACAAGAGAGTGTGAGAGACAGAAATTGCCAAAAATTCTCCTCTTCAGTTGGAAGCCCTTTCAGTCAGCAACAGGTGAACATTCACTTATGGTGGTTTTCTTAAATCCAATAGATAAAAATTTGATTTTCCAATTATGAGATGGTAAGCAAGTAACATCTTTTCAGCATAGATGAGAAAAAGTACCCCCTCCCTCCCCACACACTCTCTTGCTGAAGAAGTGTCCATAGTCTGTTGTGTCTTCGGTTCTTTTTGTAAACTGAACATGTTTTAGGTTCAGTTTGAGAACTCTAAAGGCAATGTGGTAAGATTAATAAAGGCCTGGCAAACAGAGTCAGGGAGAAGAAGAGTAAAGAGAACTTTCTGCTTGCAGGAAGCTCCACTTTTTCTTCCATCAAGGCCTCATTGATTCATGTTAACAAAAATCTTACTTGTGTAGATTTGGGAGGTGGGGGAACCATCAAAGTCAGGGGTGGTATTAACTTACCTTCCCTAACAGTTCCCAAATGTGCACGCGTGTATCTTCCGTGCATGCGCAAGGCCTTCTGCGTATGCACAGAGCCTCAAAAACGTAAAAAAATAGGATGTCATGACATCTCCGCGGGTGGGCGGGATATCTTGCAGTCGCCCCTACCAGTTTGCCCGAACCGGATAGAACCAACTGAACACCACCACTGATCAAAGTGTCAAAACAAAGCTTTATTCCACAGTTAGCATTTCCACATGCAGTAGTAAATCCAAAGGAAGAGTCTTAGTGTTTCAAAACTGGCTTTAGAATATTCCAAAAATCTTAAATACATTTTTGTTCTCCAGAGCCAAATACCTGAGCTGAGTGCAGCAATTCCCCAAAATGCAGATACCTCAAAGAGAAGACCCACCGCACACACCCATCCCCAAGTACTCCTACCTTTTTGTTGGCGTGGGGGCTCCGGAGGACACATGGGTAACCATGGCATCATTCATGTTAACGAGAGGCCGAGAAGGGCTGGAATAGAAAATGTTTGTTGGATGTTAGGCTCCAGAAAGACAGAATAAGGGAAAAATGCTTACTAGTGTTTACTGAAATGCTACCTCCCTTATCCCCTACATGGCTTCTTTACCTATTTTGCTGCAAAAGCAAGAACTGCTGATATAGTAACCCTGTCTGGCTGTTGCCATGCTTTTTCATCAGTTTTATCAGGACCATTTCCAGACAAAGAAAGGAGTGAATGTCACAGGCATTATAGAACTTGCTATAAGTGACGGAAGATCTTGGCGGAAGGTGAAATCTAAATAATTTAAAATATACAAAACACCTCACCTTTGCACCTTAGACGCAGGCAAACTAGAAAGCCTACCAGAGATGGCTCTATTTCTTATGGGATTTTCCAGGCCGTAGTAGGTTATCATAAGGAACTTCTGCTCTCAGAAATCAAGATCAAGTATAGAAGGAATTCACCCTGGTGAGGGCTCAGAATAGTTATGCAAGTGCAAAAATATTCATGACTAAAAAAACACCCAACAACAACACTACTACCACCACTACCCCAGGTCTCCTTACAAGTAAAATCACGATTTTGCAATGCTTGCTTCTATATTTTTCGACATACCAAGGTCTGCAGAAAAAAAAATGAGCCCTTTAGTCTTTCTAATATTATTCACTAGAGTAATTGACAGATGCACCACTCTCTTTTTCAATAAAGATTTTGGCACGTGTCTGAAGTCAGTTATGTGGGGTTTGGAAGAGTCGTCCAATTATAGAACCAAAGAATGTGTTTTCTTTGCAGTAGGTCAACGATTAATCTCTCTTCCCTCCACATTTCAATCAAGAATGCAAGGAATGCATGAAGAAGTGAAGTTCAAGCATTAGGCTGCTCTTTTAAAAAGTAATTATTTCTCAAATCTATTCTATCTATTAAAGGCTGATGTCAAATTGCTTGCAGTAAGGCAAAGGGCACCCAAAATTAGAGGTCAGATTTAGAAGCCGTAGTTGCCAGTAAGACAAGCATGGCTTCCAGAAGTCCAAGATGTAAAATACAGTATTATTGCCTCTTCACCAATCTAAAATCATCTGTCAAGCTACAATCAGTTCAACCACTTATACAGTGTACCATCTACCTTCACTAAAATGAATTTTAATTAACAAACAAGAACAATGTCATTGTAAATGTGATAATAATTAGGTATTATTGAGGAAAGATTTTCTGTCTTGTGGATATGTACTTTGTTTTCTGCTAGAATTAAGAATTCCAAAATGAATTTAAAAAACAAGACAGAAGTTTGTTGCAAAACCATCAGCTGACCTGAGTTCTCAGCACTTCCATATAAATATTTCTTGCTGATTAGATAGAATTATAGACTTGGAAGGGCCATTTAGGCACTGAGTTCAACCTTCTGCTCGCACAGGTATAGAAATTAAAATATCCCTGATAGATAGTTCAGGCTCTTCTTGAACATATCTTGCAAACAGAAGTCCACTACTTTAATATTTGTTTGCTTTTATTCTTAATATGTTTCCCTTAACATTTCATGAGAATCTGCTTAGTGTAACTTAAAGCCTGAAATAAGGGAAGGCAAAGGCTACCAAGTTGAATAGATCCCGCATACATTAAAACATTTATACAAAAGAATTATTTGAAACAATAAAAGAATTAAAAGTATAGCTTGCATGCTTCTAATTAAAAAATGTGCATGAGAAAATAATCTATCCCTTAGATCACGTGTCTTCTAGCTGCTTTAGGGGTCTTCTACTACAGAATTAAGGATTTTTCATATAGAAAGTTGGTTTCCTGTAGGCATGAAAGAACAATAATGAGAATAACCAATATTCTTTCTTTCTTTGTTTCCTTTCTTTCTTTGTTTCCTTCAAATGCTAATTTTGTTGCTCTTGTTATCTTAGACACCTGATTTATAATATTGTACAGTGAATTATCACCAAGCCATTCCAGATCTGTACATCTCCGTGGCTTTCATACTTTTGATCTCTGCTAACTCTTGATAAGCAGGGAAATAAATTTAAAAATGAATATCTGGCAAAAAGAAAGGGATTTCATTGCCAACTCATACTAGACAATTAGCCTCTTACTGCCCCACTAAGCTTTTTCTTTCTTAATTAATTCAGTTGATTAATGAATTGATTCCTTTTACTTGCGTTCTGTTTTAAAAGTGTGGCCAATCACTGCTTTCTAACTAAAAACTAAAAACAATGGTATTTGCACAATCAGCATCTAGTTATAGTGCTATTCAGCACTATTGAGAAGGGTAAATGAATTTATCCTTTGAAGACAAAAGGTCAGCAACACAAGCAATCTCCTGGAAGTCTCCTGTTAATCCACCTGTGGTGAGTCTCCACTTAATAGCAATAAGACCTGCATTCAGAAACTCCAAGCAGATAAGGCAGAATTGCCATCCTACAAGATTTTAATTCATAAATAATGCCAACCTGGTACAAAAGTTGACATTGCTCTAATTTCCCAAGAAAGCAAACAAAGCAGTCTGGAAACATGTACGTTATTATAAAGCAAATCATTCATAAACTTGCTGTTGCTCTTGCATACACAAACATACACATTTCTATCTATAGAACACTATCTCTGTAAGAACATACACACTCACTCACACACAGAACAGCCTACTTCCTAGAGTTGAGACTGACTGGACCAAGGTCAACCAGCTGGCATTGTGCCTACAGCAAGAACTCACAGTTTCCTAGATCCTAGCAGGTGGACCACTATACTAAACTGGCTCACAATGGGTATAAAGCAGAACCCCAAAATACCATCATCTTCACCCAACCTCATGCATTCTGAGATGTTCAGCCGAGGCCCCATTCAAACTGCCTGTCACCAAGATCAATTTAGGTCACTGAGTTGGAAAGTTCTGAATCTATGAAATTCTGATGGCAGTTAATTAGGCCCATTTTTGTAGGCTTCAGAAAAAACTGAGTGGTGATTTTATAGGCTTCTTCTTGAATTACATTTTGGACACTGTTATTCATGATTGTTGACCTTGCTGGTCACTCTACTGCTTTATGTACTTTTTTTTTTTGCCACCTCAGGAAGATTCCATCCTAAAAATACATTTACATGTGTAGACTTGCAGGAAAAGGTTGAAATAGTTTTGTTTAAAAGATAATGCATGAGTCAAAGCTATTCCATTTCTTATTAAGGAAGCTTGAAAAGAAAAGTGTTAATATATGAAGGCTATGAAAATATATGAAAGAAATGTTTAAGGTTATGTTGCCTTTTAGCTGTTTTACAGCAAGAGAAATTGAATTTCTCCTTCAGCTCAAGCTATTTTCAACAACAGTGTTGGAATGAAAGTGAAAAGATGACCCAAACACTGAAAGTTAATGGTTTGTTGATTAGGTGTGAGCTGGAATGGACTCTATCATGCAGTCTGCAGAGAGTCCTAAGAGCTTTCCAGAACCAGCAGAAGAAAAGATTTAGGTTGGAATATAGGGCCATTGTTTTTATACAATCATTCTCTGTGTAAAAAATCACAACCTTAAAACATAACATGAGATCACTAGGAGTTGAGTTCAACATGAAGAAAGTTTTTGAGAGTCAAAGTTTCTGAAAAAGAAGAAATCCACTCCTACTTCCAAATTTCAGTTTTTGTTACTCAGCTTTTGGATAGAGCACTTTCACTTATCTCAGAATTTAGTGAAAATAACCCCTCAAACTGAAAGCAAGCACTTTTCATTTTATACAATTTGTATGATTCTTCATGAAACTGAGACTTACAAACGGGCTATCAATGGCCTACTTATCTTAAGCCAAGACAGAGCAGGCCCTGGCTTCCCTTTATGCCTCTAGAAAGTGGCAAGAAGACAAGGCTTTGTGTTTGCAAGTGCTGTGGTCTTGATATTTTTTGTGCCTTCAAGTCAAGTTAAGCCCTATTGTCAATTAGTTATGTACTATCAATTAGTCATGACAAGTCCATGCAGTTTTCTTGGCAAGATTGTTAAGAGTAATTTGAAATTGCTTTCTTCCTAAGGCTGAGAGAGAAAATGACTGGCCCAAGGTCACCCAGCTGGCTTTGTGCCTAAGGCACAAACTCAAAGAACTCACAGCCTTCTGGTTTCTACCCTAGTTCCTTTAATCATTCCACCAACTCACTCTTGATCTCATTATGGGTTATTACATTTGCTTTTGACATTGGTCAAGATACGAATTATTCTGGGCCATGCATCCTACCAGCTGCAGAAGGATAGCCCAGGGATTGTCAAAGCAAAAATTGTATTTTACACACATATAGAATAGAAGGGAAATACATTAGAATCCTGAAGTATTACTGAGAATTAGGCATATGGAGGGACATCTAGAAGTGGATAGAGATATCCATTTCATAACAATTCTTACACAAAGCCTCCTTTGATGATACTTGGGGAAGATGTTAAAAACAAAAGAAGTGGGCTTCACGGCATGATAAAAATCCTAACCTTTTAATGTACTTACAGCATATGACAATAGCTTAGTGTCTATCTTCTGGAATCCTTCACATCAAAACTTTTGTTATCACAGTTGGTGAATTGTCCAGAAAAGGGAACTAAGCAATATAAAAAAGGAGAGATGTATGGCTGAGAAAGTTACCCATTAAACAAGAAAATCTGACATTACCCTAACATGAGCTTATCAGAGTGATCTATGAACAGAGCAGTATTTTATTCACTGAAATAGACAGAAAGCAGCTTTCTGCACTTAGACTAGCTTGATGGTCCTATCTATCATTGGATAGCAGAGCTAAAAGGTTTTAACAGCCACACATGTCAGCAACCCAACCAAACACATCAGACTCAATTCCACTGAAGAAGAGAGCATTCAGATTTCAACAAGATGATAATGATATATCTCACCTGAATGCATTGTTAGATTATTAGTAATAAAAATAATCAGGTAAGATTATAGTTACAACTAACAAACAAAGTAACCCAATTAAGTTAGTTTACCCCAAAGACTAAGTGTGGGCTAAAATTTTCATCAACTTTACAAAATGCTCCAAAAG